CTGCTGCAGTTTCATTTTGAAGACTTTGTAATTCATTTTCTGGCCTTCGCTCTTTGAATCGATACATGTTGTTGATATGTTGCACCCCCAGAAGTAGCTAAATTGATCCTTGAGTATAATTTATACCTCAATTTGTAACGTGCTTTGTGATCCTTCAAAACAATGAGATCATAAAATAAGATCTTCCAGTTGTGGTAATGATAACAAATATAATATCAATATCACTTATATCAGTGAGTTTCTATTGGACATCAGGAAGAAACGGGATTTGATAAAGTGGGGAATTCCTTTCCTAATTATGATCAGCAAGCTGTTTCTTTTCTCATTTCTATGTACTGACAGCTGTAAATGCACCCGGTCTGTATTTGGATCCAAAGCTTCATTGTATTCAACAGCACCTAGTTCTTCTACAATACAGAACTCCAATAATGTAACTGGTGTGTATACTGGCTCATTCTATTCATTGCTAGTAAATGGCTCTGGTAGAAGCCTCCCAACACATTAGACAAAAAGCTGGGAGAAATATTTATATAAACCTCAGACCAAAGTCTATTGAAAGCTAAGTAAAAGGCACACACACACAGACAGCATTATACATGCTGACAGCACACAGAATCCTAGAACTGGAAGGAACCTCGAGAAATTATCGAGACCAGTCCTCTGCTCTTACGGCAGGACCAAGCACTGTCTACATCAACTGTGGCCAACCTGCAGCTCTTGCCCCACAAAAGTGTGGCTCAGAAAGCCACTCCTGCACCCCCTCCCCAATGGCCCGTGCCAGCTCCCCCCCAGCTTCCTGGGTCAGAGCAGCAGGGTTTTAAAAATGGCGCCCAAGATGGCAGCTATCTTAAAGCGGCAGCCTCCCTTAAAAAAATTTTTGTTTTGTTTTTTCTCAACAATTCTGTTCTGGGGGGCTTTTTTTTGTTTGTTTGTTTTGCTTGACAATTCTGGTACGGCTCTTCGCATTTTTTCTTCCGCAGTTTTGGCTCTCTTTGTTGGACACCACTGGTCTACATCATCTTGGATAGATGTCCATCCAACATCTTAAATATCTCCAGTGATGGAAATTCCACAACCCCTCTAGGCAATTTATTACAGTGCTTAGCCACCCTGACAGGAAGTTTTCCCTAATGTCTAACCTAAATCTCTGTCGCTGCAATTTAAGCCCATTGCTTCTTGTCCTATCCTTAGAGGCCAAGGAGAACAATTCTTCTCCCTCCTCCTTGTAACACCATTTTAGATACTTGAAAACTGCTATCATGTCCCCTCTCAGTCTTCTCTTTTCTAAACAAAGCCCAATTCTTTCACTCTTCCCTCATAGGTCATATTTTCTAGAGCTTTCATCATATTTGTCACTCTTCTCTGAACTGTCTACAATTTCTCCACATCTTTCTTGAAATGCGGTGCCCACAACTGGACACAACACTTCAGTTGGGGTCTAATCAGTGCAAAGTAGAGTGGAAGAATCAATTCTCATGTCTTGCTCACAAAACTCATGTTAAAGCATCCCAGAATCATGCTGGCTTTTTTGCAAGTGTCACACTGTTGACTCATGTTTAACTTGTGGTCAACTATGACCCTTAAATCCCTTTCAGCAGTACTCCTTCCTAGACAATCAGTTCCCATTCTGTATGTGTGAAACTGATTGTTCCTTCCTAAGTGGAGTACTTTGCATTTATACTTATTAAACTTCATCCTGTTTGCCTCAGACTAAGGCTGTCAACTGACCTGCGTTAACGCCCGCAATTAATGCATGAAAGGATTAACGCGTTAATGCTGCACTGTCCCTTTGAAGTGCCGCTCTGGCGTTTCAAAGGGGCAGCACAAGCAGAAACTGGGATCAGCTACAGTGCCCAGCTGATTCCCGGCTTAATTGTTGCAAAGCCCCTTTGAAGCTCCAGCGTGTCAAAGGGGCTTTGCAATAGTGGAGCTGGGGATCAACTGGAGTCCCCGGCTGATCCCAGGCTCCTAATGCATTGCCCCTTGGAAACGCTGTTGTGACACCTCCAAGGGACAGTGCTGCATGGAGCCCAGGATCAGCTGGGAACGTCTACCTGATCATTATTTCTGCTCTCTGGCCAGTGCTAAATTGGCAGGTACAAACAAATCCTCAGGGTTTGAAACCTTGCTAGAACAAGCTGTTTTCTCCAATCACCTGTCAACACTTTTTTTCCCTGAGTAGCCTGTGCTTTCCTGTGAAGGCAGACCAGGCTATTGACAGCTAGATACTGCCTTTCAGTCCCAGTTTGGCTGTCCTTTTTGAAAGCACATCCTAGTGTTGTACCAACAGAAGATGAAGCACAGCTTGTAAATAAAATAGAAGGGATGTATACTGGCCTACATTTTTGAGCTCATGGGGGGAAAAAAGAGAAAAGAATAGCAAAAAGTGGTTAATTCTGTGCCTACCTTTCTTATTGTAGAGACAGAAAAAAAGCAACAGCACGCATCCGGTTCCACATTATTAAAAGAACATGTGACACATGCAGCTTAATTTAAGACACTTCTACATATATTAGACCAGATCCACAGCTCGTAGAAATCAATACAGACCCATGGAAATCAATGCATTCTTGCCAGAATAAACACTAAGGTTCATGGGAGTTGTATATGCATCAAAGGGCGGATTTTGTATATTTCAGTAAAGACTTACCATTTTGTTACTGTTTAATGCTACTTGTGAGGCTATTAAAATATTGGACTAGGAGAAATAAAATTGTTCAGTCCAGTGCACAGTTCATTCTTTCAAGTATTCATATATGTGAGATCTGAATTTGACTCACATTGATCTGCTGCTTTATCAGTAATATCTATTTTTCAAGTGCCTTAGAGAGCATCTACACAGAGGGCTTAACTCGAAATAAGCTATGCAAATTGAGCTACATCAATTGCATAGCTTATTTTAAAATAGCTTATTTTGAAATTGGGAGCATCTACCCAACACTTATTTACTCTTCCTCTGATTTCCCTTACTCCTCATACAATGAGGGTTACAGGAGTCAGAGAGTGCATCTAGATTGCAAGGGGGTTTTTTTCCTCGGAAAAATGAATGTTTTTTTGAAAAAACTTCACTTACCTCCACACTGCTATTGTGTTATTTTGAAAGAAAATTGAAAGAACGCACAGTTTTTTTCTGACATTGGCAAACCTCATTCTATGAGGAAGAATGGTTTTTCCGAAAGAACTCTTTCAGAAAAAGGCATGTGTGGAGGCGGAAGAGGGAGCTCTTTTGAAAGAAGAGGCCTCTAGGAAAAAGCACAGGCACCCTGGCTACTCCATCCATAATAATCACAGCTTAAATGCAAGATAGCATCCATTCAGTGTGGATGCTATCTTTCAAAAAAGCAGGTAGCGTTTTTGATGCACTTTGGCAGTGTGGATCTCTTCCAGAAAAGCTTCTTCTGAAAGAAGCCTGCAGACTAAACGTACCCAGAGGAAGAAGCCCTCTAGCTTGACAGTACTTCAACATTTATTTTGAAATAACTGCCTGCTGTGTAGATTTTGAAATAGCACTGGTTATTTCAAAATAATGTTGCTGTGTAAACGTACCCTTAGAGAAGCTGTATTGGGAGCCCTTTGGCTGTGTATTGTGGATTCCTTACATACACTGCACATGTCTCATTGTTATAGCAGATGAGATGTTGCTGAACTGCACAGAAGATGATTAGAAGTAATCATTGCTTGTCTGTAGAAGGCCCTTTTAAGAGTGATTTTCTGGGCCACATTTTGTATCTTCCAAATCAATTTTATATATAAATATTATAAATTTGAAATGGCAAACATAAACTGAAATTAATGAGTGATATCATTGTAGCTGAGAGAAATAACACTTACTAAATCTAATCATATAAACAAGAAAATCTTGAGTTCTCAAAAGTAAACAATGGCAGTTCAGAAAAATAATAAAATGAGGCTCTCTTTTCATCAAAATATGCCGAGGCAGAATTACTCAGTTGGTATACTGTACATGGATGTGGTTTAGTTAATGTAATATTTGTGAGATTATGTTATTCATAATTATTTAGATAACTGCTAGATAGCTATGGAAATGTTCACAGATCTCAAGAGTTCCATGAATTTAATCACAAACTTTTATACTCATCCAAAACTGCATACTGCAAATGCTCTGTTTTATAATTTTATAATGTTCACCATTCATTATTCTCCAGTCTTTAAAGTTTTAGTTTTAAAAGTTTTAATGATCCAATCAGAGAGCAGTGCCAAATGACCAGTTATATTTCATAAAGAAATAATAGAAAAAAGTGAACACATAAGCTGAAATATCGTTGTTTATAGTGTTTCAAGAATACTTCTAAAAACAAATGTATTTGTAGAAATCAGCAGAGTGGTTCAATAAACATTTGACAAGCAGAAAAAAAGGCTAAATTTGCCATGATTATTTTTTACAATTAACCATTTGACTGGACTTAAACGTTCATTCATAAAGAAGTGAGATACTAGATTGCTCAAGATAGTTAAGTCCAAAGAAGACTGTGAAGAGTGTCAAAAGGATCTTACAAAACTAGGTGACTAAGCAACAAAATGGCAGATGAATTTCAACATTGTTAAATGCTAAGTAATACATATTGTAAAACATAAATCCCAATTATGTGTATAAAATGAAGGTGACTAAATTAGCTATTACCACTCGAGAGAGATCTTGAAGTCATTGTGGATAGTTCTCTGAAAACATCATTCAA